GCCAAGCCACTGGGTGAAACCAGGCCAGGGCAATCGTTGGGACCAAGGCTACGACGTGACTGCTCAATTTCTTGATTACTGCAATAGCTTGAGAAATGGATTTGTGGCAGAGCTTAACAAGAAAATGAGAAATGGCTATAGTAATCAGTTCTTTGTTGACTTACTAGGGAAGACGGTTGATCAACTTTGGAGTGATTACAAGGCTAAATTTGGGGCATAACTTAAGAAATCCAAATTAAATCGAAAATGAGAAACATCATCTATTGCCTTTGTACCAATATTACAAGTATTTGTGTTATGGTCTTGTACTCTTGTTGAAGATATTGTAGTAACAATAATAATAATATTAATAAAAATAAACACAAGCTAGTTTTACTACAAGTTATTTCATTCGCGTGACTAATTAAGTAAGCAATTCCAGTGCAAGCATCCAAGTATATTTTTGTTGAAATTATTTATGATTTGTTAGTTAATTTAAATTGTTTAATGTTAAAAATATTTATTTGTGTTACGCTGAAAATTTCGGTTTAGTATAGAAGCAGTAAGCTCTCTTTAAATTCTTCAAGTATTTGGTTTAGTTTATGATTTCTTTTTTTCAATTTGTAAGTAAAAACTCTGATCTTTTGTAAACAACATAAATGAACATTATGAAAAACTTAGATTATTAAATTTCTTAAGAGTTAGTAAAATTGTGAATTGGCCAAGTAGAATCGTTGGTTAAAGTTTAACAGAATGTTGAATAATCAAGTGAAATTTGATAACAAAAATATAAATTGCCTTTAAAATATAGACGGTCGACTTTAATTATTTATTCGTACTGTGTTAAAAAAAGGAAAGAGTAAAGATGGTACTCATCCATTGCTAGGAAGTAGCACACTGCACATCATACTCATCCCACAAATTTCTTAGTCTAGTAGAGAAATAGGCAGCAATAGCTGTTGCTTCTAGTGTATTTCGTGGAACTAATTATCTATACATATTATTAGAAACGGATCTAGAATATAAAGATTGCGCGCTAATATATCAATATTATTATAATTTAGGCGTTGAAAAAACTTTCAATAACGATTAAGGAAAATGTCGAATTCAATTGACCACTAATGACTTGAATAATACTAAAAAAATGAAATACAAATATATTGATCATGCATAAGCTCTAAGCTAATACTTAAACTTTAATTTGCTATAATATGAATTTTAAAGTCTTTAAGATAATATGTAGACTTTAACTTTATTAAAAAATTTGAAAAACAATTGAGTGAGGTAGCTCAATGGTTAAATGGGTTTATTATACTGGATTGTCATGAGTATGAATCTCCTATCTAGCAATTTTGATGTTACAATTAAAATAAGCCCTTTAAATTCGAAAATTATAATAGAACAGTGAAATGGAGTTTTAACCGGGACTGGCCCCTGGTCTCGTATAGTGGTCGTGCGGGTGGGTGCATTGGCTTAAAGCAATGTCCCAAGGTGCACTTCTAAGCTCTCTATGGGTGCACAATTAGTTATATTCTAGTTTCTCAAAAGATATATGCATACATACACATGTTTTTTCTGAAGTGAGCAGGTACACGTGCACCCTACCTATACATGTGGGTTCGCCTCTGTTGATGACTTGTAATGACACAAATGTCATTTTTGGAATTCTTCATAAAATTACCATTATACCCCTCCCGATATCGACCCCGGGTTATTTATGATTGAATTTTGAATTTGGTTTCGAGTTTTGATTTATAAGTTGTGAATTATGAAATTTTTGGAAGTTGAAAGGCTAAAGTTGTTAAAAAGGGATTTTTGGTGTCTTTTGAAGTTTCGAGTCTCGGAAATAGAATTATGTCGATTCCATCAGTTCCGAAATGTGGAAATTGGTCTAGAAGATTTGAGGTCCTAAGTTGAAAGTTTGTGAATTTTAGCCTTTGGGTTGAGTTTGGTCAACATTCGGGGTTCAGATGCTCGGATTGAACTTTCGACAATCTCGTTGGTATGAGTATTGTTATTTTCGAAATCTTATTGTGATTACTTGATAGGATTAGATTGTGTGGCTTTGGACATTGTTGGAAAAGGAAATGCTCAAGTCTTGGATTGACTTTTGATTGAATTAAAGCAACTTGTCATGCCCCAAGTCTACACCCTAGACGTGGCCGGCACTCGAGAACTATCATTGATCCCTAAACGAACCCTTGACCTGGCTAACTACTTAGCGGAAGACTTACTCAAGCAAAATGGAAATTTCAAATGCATAATTAAACTTTAAAGTCTAAAACTCAACTCAAAGGAACATCTGAAAATACTTATTAAGTTACAATCAACTAGAAGGGGAAATAATCATAGGCTCTTCAACCTCTACTACCTATAAAGCCTCTAACACTACGATAGATGTCGGGAAAGAACCCATGACAACTTAACAAAGAAAGAAATACGTGTGAAGCCCTCCGAAAAGCAAGGAGGCTCACCAAAGCTAGCTGGATTTCAAGTGGTATCAACGAAGCGTCTGTTGATGACCTTGAGCACATGTATCTGCATCATGAAAAGATGCAAGTCGAATGACCTCAGTACATAGAATGTACAAGCATGTAAAGAGAACTGAATGCAATAGATAATTGAACTGACAAGGCTAGAAGAAATACCCACCTCAACTCAACACAATACAAAGCAATAACAAAAGATGACACGTTTAAAGCTTCATAAATAAAAGATACTAACTCAAAGATGTGTATACAAATAAAATAAGTTACTCTTCACTCTTATCGTAACACCCCGAAAACTAGTAAGCTAAACTAAAGCTAAATGTGAGGGTTAGCGTCAAGGAAGAAGGGTTAGGGACAAGGGCAAAGGGGCAAGGGCCAAGAATGTCCAAGCCTTGCCAAGGCACTGCCCCATGACCACGAGGGCCTTTACGACCAGTGGTGGTCACCACGAGTCGTGGTGCCACTTGTGGAGGTGAGGCAATAGCCTCCTTAAGGCTGCCCCAAATTGGCTCCTCCACACGAGCCACTTCACGAATCGTGAAGCCTTAGACGACTAGTGGGAGTGGCCTTGGTCATGCCTTAGTGGTTGATGATACAACGTCTCACCCACACTGTTAGAACTACCCTATAGCTATGCTTTAAAGCAAAAAGGAGTCGTCTAAAAAATACGATCTTTTACCCATGTTGGCTACATGATTTATGAGGAATGTGAGTTGTCTGAACTTATCCCCATATCGGTGCTCAATACTACTTCCAATAATATATAACTCATGCTCAAATGTATAAAACATAACTCTTTCTCAATTTGAGGTAATTACTCAAAATAACTCTTTTAAAGAGATAGTGAAATATGTCGAACTCATAAACTCTTTCTTTAGAAATCAAAGTTCCTCTTTCTCAATGTAAAAGTGTTATATTTGGAAGTACTTAGTTTCCTTATATTATTTCTCGATTATGAATACAACTCTCCTCATTACTCATTTTTACTTTCTCAAAAAAACTTAGTTCAAATTATAGTAGGTTACAAAAGATTCTCAAAACACTCAAAAAGAACTTTTTGAACTTTCCTCTTAAACTCACTTTAGATTTTGATTTGTAAATTAGGACATGTAATTAGAACATGAAGGAATTCTCAAAGGTAAAATGAGTCTTTAGTAGTTAATATAGAGAGGTGAAATGTATACACAACTTAAAGGAACCCATGCCTGACGAAACAAGGAAGAACTGGCCCAGTGAATTTCGGGAGTATTGCAGACGCAGGGCGCCAGACCCAAAGTATTGGGTTGGATCCGGGCGCACTGCTGGCGCGCCACCTTAGGCCCCAAAGTACTGGGCTTGTTTCGAGCGCACTGTTGGCGTGGCTCCCCAACCCCTCCCCAGCGAACCCGATGATTTTTTTTGTTAAATTAGGCTTCAAACTTGTTTAGAATTGGGAGATTTCTCCTAAACTCTTCTTAATTCTCAAACCAACACGATTACATGAAAAATTTCATACAATCCCTTTTAAGAAATCACAACTCATACTCAAGATCCTCAACACAAGAAACTCAAAACCTCTATGGTTAAAGAATGAAACTAAAATCAAGAACTACTCAAAATTCTCTTAATATAACAATTTCATGGACGAATCCATGGATGAATTAGATGTATGGCGTGAGGACGAACAAGTCCAACACTATGAGAAGCCTTACATACCTGGAAAGAACGATATTCTTGCCGAAACCACAAATCTTGAAGAACGCTTGAACTTAGCCCTTTTCTCCTCTTGAAACCTCGCTCTAAATCCCTGAATGTTTAGGAACGTGAATAGGTGATTTAGAATCTGATTAGACCCTTAATTGAGTCAGGAAAAATGTGCTAAGCCTAGTGGGAAAAGGAAAAGACCAAAATACCCTTTCCTAAAATGAGTGGAATGCCTTAAATGGTGAGGCTTACTCAAACAGCCGTAACCTTTTACTCGGAGCTCGAAATTTAGCAAACTTGGCGGCATTGGAAAGAGGACTCAAGACCTTCAATTTGATAGGTCATGAGCCACCTATATCTTCATGTGCTAAAACATATGATCGTAGTTGACCCATAACTAAAAAATGATGGGTGATTTGCACAAATTTCTATTTAGCTTTTTCGAAGTTCGAGGTGTTACACAAGTAAACTTTTTAAAACCATGTAAAACTTGTAGAATCTTGTATTTCCCTTTATTATGTGTGTAGGGGAGTAATGAGAATGAAGTAAAGAGTTCAATTGTTCTACTTGATTAATCTTAATGAATGAAAAATTGATTAATGAAAAAGGCGACGTGTTAATAGTTGTGCTTTGTGAATTGCCTTGTTGTAGAACCTAATTTGTTGATTGAAAAAGGCAACGTGTTAATAGTTTTGACCCTGAAAAGTTTTTTCTTTTTAAAAATGAAAAATAATATTTGATTGTGTCCATGAAATAAAAATAAAAATTATTTTAAAATTTTGTTTCATTACCAAACAGAGTAAAAAAACTTTTCAGGGTCAAAAAAGTGAAAAATGTGCAAGCGCACGTAATTTCACTAGTGTGCAAAATTATTGGGGAAAACTGACCCTTTCACGTTCTCCATTTTCTTTGAAATCAGAGGTGGAGCAAATACCCTCCAAAATCCTCCAAAATCCAACAATGGCGATGAGCAAAGGTAAATACCTACCCGAAGAACTCATTAGTGAAATATTCTACCGCCTCCCTGTAAAATCCATTGGGCGGTGTAGGTGTCTATCAAAGCACTGGCGCAATTTTCTCTCACACCCACAATTCATCAAACTTCACTTCAACCTCCACGCCCATACACAAGAAGAGAAACTCATTATCGTCACTTGGCGTAGCGAACTTCATACTATCACGCTTATCCACGACATCCTCGAAGATGAATCCATCGATAGCATTTCAACAAAGGTTAATTTTCAGCAGCTCACACAAAACTGGATTTCTGTAGCTGGGTCTTGTAATGGGTTGGTCTTAGTGATTGATAGGGATAATGTTCAATTTTTGATCAACCCAACTACCTTAGAATACCATAAATTTCCTTTTTTTGATTGGGCTCTTCCTCCGAAAACTAGCTGTTACATGTATGGTTTAGGGTATGATATTGTTAGTGATGATTATAAGGTGGTTTCTCTTTCCTATCGTGATACGAATAATGAATTTATGTCTAATACTTATGTGGATTTGTACTCTGTGAGAAAGGGTCATTGGGAGACACTTGGGGTTTCTCCTTATGATCATTCACTTACTGACCGTGCTTCTGGGGTTTTGGTTAATGGGGCTTTGCATTGGTTGGCTTGTAGAACTGTTGAATATTCAACTGCAATTGCTGCTTTTGATTTAAGTGTTGATAAATTCTTGGAGGTACCAGGACCTATTGATCTTCAGGATAATTGCTTTATGTGTAATCTTGCAACTCTTAAAGGGTGTCTTTGTATATCTACCAGTTTACCCCGAGACATAAACACAGTTACAATTTGGATCATGAAAGAGTATGGGGTTAAGGAGTCTTGGACCAAATTTGAGATTATAGAACCGAGTTTGGATGATTCTCTTAGTACACTATTGTGTTCCATCACTGATGAGGATGATGTTTTATTGGAAGTCGAAGAAGAATGGGTTGTCTACAATCTGAAAGAGAATCGGCGTAAGGATCTGTTGATTGATGTAAATCCTGTTACGTATGAAGCTCGAACTTTTGTGGATAGCCTTGTCTCTCCTTACTTTGGCAACGAAACTGAGGGTTCATGTATTGTGTGATGCACAAGATGATGTTGTATACAGGTATTATAGGAACATGTTCCTCTGTATCATCCACCTTTATCGTCCATCTCCTTTAGATTATTCAAAAGCCTCTGTATTTTCTTTTATCTATGATATCTATGCTTGCAATTTCAACAGTAATTTCAACAGTACTGTATTGCTGGTTTTCTTTTTCTCAAGTTGCTATCATGTTAGAAAATATAGTCTATGAACCAGTAGTCTAAAGTGTAAACAACAGCATTTCATGGATTTACATCAGTTTATTGTAATGCCACATACTACCAGATTCGTGCTTGCACAGGAATTAATCTGCTTCCTCTTAGTTCAAGCTGTTCCTTGTTCATCTTGCACTGCCTGAAGTCTCCAGAAACAAGGCGTGCTTTTGCATTACACTTCATGTCTTGGTTCACTATCATTCTGACGTCATAGAGAATTGAAAATTCACAGTTTTTGAATTCCTTGAATTGAATGGGATTGATAGAAATCAGTATCTTACAACGAAAACAATGTTTGGATCTGGGTACTTTGTTGAGTGGATAGAGTATTTGGATGTGAGAATTTTTAATCTTAGTATTGCATACATGTAACATTTTAAAACTGCTGGGTAGATTCTCTAAAATACAGGGGACAAATTATGTAGTGTATCTCCTTTAGTGTATAATTATCAAGATCTATGACAACAAAAACTCTTTAGATCGATATTAGGTAGTAGTTATTACTTAGGAAGGTAACCATAAACAAGAAGTGGAAAACCTGTTGGTTAGCGGTTCTTATGGTTTTAAACATGACATGTGAAAATTATAAACCAAGTGTTGTAAAAAGACGTTCTTTTTTAAATGGACCAAAAAAAAGTAAGACAAAGTAATTCAAACGAATAAAGTACCAAAATAAAAGCTTATTCCATTTCATGATGAACATACTGAAAGATAAAATTAAGATAAAAACTTAATCATCGATATGACATACTTAACTCTATAAATACCAAATTAAGTTATTGAACTTTAAATAAAGCAAGAAAAATCTATTCACCGGATCCAGATGACCCTTCGCCGGAATCGGACGAAGTGCTTTCCCTAGCTCTTAAAGGAGCGAGCGCACTTCCGATGGTTTGATATGGAAATTCAATACCACACTCCATAAGTTGGCTTGCCAGTTTTTCAACTTTTTTATCCGCAGCCTCCAAGGACTCACACAAGATCTTAAGGTCAAAAAAGCTAAGTTTTTCATTTGAAGGTTCTGTCCTCAATGCTTGAAGTGCTTGTCCATGTTTTCTTTCTCTTTCGAGTGATCTCTCCAACTTGTTCAGCTTTTCATTGATCTCATCAATATTGGCATTTTGATGAGCTACAATAATGGGGTTAGGATCATCAGTGTCGGGTGGAGGATTCTCTCCGACAAATTTATCCACAATTGACTCGACGGAAGGGTGTCCACATGCGTATACTTTGTTGCTGGGAGAAAAAGCTACAATAGCAACATTAGCACCGCACAAAGTAGAGAGCTCACTTGCCTTTTTAAATAGGCCAGCACGTCTTTTTGAGAATGTTACTTGTAAGTTGGTTTGATTTTGTATCCTCGCAATTTCAATTTTTTTGCGGCCATTAGGTCTTCTCATGGCTAAACTTTTGATTTGAGAGTGTAAAAAAATGTGATGTTGAGTCTTTGTTTTAAAGATGTATTTATAGAGATAGAATTATTATATTATTTGATGAAAAATGAACTCAATAACAAAAAAGTAAAAATATTTATGATGATCCCTTATTTGGTAGGATTTGACCCAAATCATAATATTAATTAAATTCTTTTTTTGTTCATTGTATCTTTGTCAAAATCCGTAACTAATGTAATTGCAGATGACATATTTTTTAGTATAATTTATTTTACTGAATCATTGGAAAAAAATTATTGTGATATATGTTTTAGCAAAGTTAATATGTAAATTGATGATAGTTTCTGGGATAATTTTTTTTTTTTTTGATTGTATTTGTATATTTTCTAAATTTGCTCTTATTCAACTATGTATATTTCCTAATGTAGACATGCTTAATAAACAACCTTCCACTATTAGCTTTAACAATACGAAAATATTTATTTTCTTACTCATATTAATGTATAAAAAAGTTTAAACATCCCCCCAAGGCCTAGCTCGTGGCAAAAGGTGGAGGATTTGTGGCTTAGGTCGCAGGTTCAAACCCCACACCATGCAAAGCAAAGCCCGGTTTTTAAGTGGAGAAGGGTAGAGGGGCGGACCCATTATCCACCGAGCTTAGAAGGCTGTGATTGGTCCAAAGGGCGGCGGGTCACAATCAAATTTTCCGGTTATTAAAAAAAAAGTTTAAACACTTCAATTTAAAATTTCAAGTTATTTCCGTGTGTTTTAGAGCATTTGCAAACTCATAAAATATACTTTTGTAACTTATGACGAGTTAAAGAATATCGTAATAGAAAATTCAAATCCTAACACAATTAACATGTATAAACCTCTTTAGAATATTCTCAGCAAGAAGCAAAACATGAACAAGATTGATCTGGACACCCAGATCCTTAGGCTATCCACCTTTGATGTTCCTTGAGTAATCACTGTTTAGGGGAGATTCTGTTTTAGGATTAATTACCCCAGCCTTTTTTGAGAACAAGAAATCAATTAAAGCATGAGATTAATTAGATAATCAAGGACTCGATTCATAATCAGATAGTATTCAACTAAATAAAAAAACACAAGACATAAATCAAAAACCCAAATGTTGTTTATATCTAACACAGTATCCAAATCTGAAATTAGCAACTACACCTACAAATATTCAATACAAAGCACAAATATCCTCTCGTAGGAGCGGTCCTGTTATTGTTTCCTCAGTTTTGCTGAAGTGGTGTCCCTTCGCTGTTGCGAGATTGCAGTGGTGTTACTTCATCGCAGGCGCGACTCTAGTGGAACAGTGAACTCTTTGCTGTTGCGTTTCTTTCCCTGCAGGTGCGAGAGGCCTGACAGTGGTCTCAGCACAACAATTCCTCCTCTTGCTCCTTTTGAACTCCTTTCCTTACACAACATATTTTGCAGCTTCCCACCTAGAATAATCACAAATCACTATATAAGTAGCCTCATTTAATGGTTAGAAGACATATAAATAAGTGGTAAATTCACCTTATCACATATGTCGTTAATATCTCTTATTTTTGTGATCTTCTGATTCTTTTTTATTCAGTTTCCTTCGTATTGTAGCAATCTTTGTTCCTCCTTATGTATTTAAAGATGATCAATATAATACACAAATAACAACTTTTTGCAAAATCTTTTTTTATAAGATATCAAATTCATTTCTTTTTCATTTATTAGGTGGGATATTAGCCAAATTTATCAGCTCACTCATTACAAAGCACTTTTAGATCTCTACAACTATTATGAAACAGAGTTATCAAAGGCATATCTGATGTTTTTCACTATGCAAAAGAGAGAGTATGAATGGAGTGATTTCATACTCGTTCAATTGCATCAAATAAACTTAGATTTTTTTATTTTACCTAAGTTACTACCATGAAGCGATAAAAATGATTTCATACCTATACCAGTACATTTTGATTCCCGATCCAGGTTGAGAAGGGTAGAGGTCAGATCGCGACTGGAATTGAGTGTCATATGAGAGATTATGGCATTTGAACAGAAGAGGCAATGGAAATATTTCAAGAAATGGATGAGATAGCGTGGAAGGATGTAAATGAAGGAATTTTATGATCAACTCCAATGTCTACAGATATTCTCACTTGTATTCTTAATCTTGATCGCATTAATGATGTCACTTACAAACACAACCAAGATGGATACACTCATCCTGAAAAAGTACAATATATATTACAACTCATGAGCCGAAAGGAAGTACCTAACTTTGAAAACCTCAGGACTGACCGGAACTGTAACTAAAAGCATCAAAAACAGAGGTGAAACTGGCACTTGCTTAGTACTATATTAGGTTCTTTTCACTCGTCTTTGGAAGGAAGGCCCCTCATAAATGCCCTAGCAACTGGCATTAGTCCTATAATATCAATCTGTAGTTGATCTGTGGTGCTTGTCTTGAAGCAATCTGAAGGTAAAACTGGTAGCTAGATTCTCTTACCTTGTCTTCACATGCCACTTAAATGAGATCACTTGACTTCACATGCCATCCATCAAAGCCTACTCAAAATATCACTATCATCCTTCTTTTATCAGTTGTAACTTGTAACAGTAAAGAAAACTTAATGTTAGATGTATTTCATTAATGTGAAGTAAGACAAACATTATTGTTATATAGTAAACCTTGCATCTAGAAGGAATTCAGCAACTACCGCAGGTTCATATTGGCTTTTTCTTGCTTTGTTTCATATCAGCAAACAAGTTGATGCTGTAATCCCAAGCTCGTGCTTCCTAGTCCATTCTCTCCAACACCAATACCAATACCAACTGTTGCTCTTTATTTTTACATTTCAGAGCCTCCATTTTTTTCACATTCTAATTACTAGTATTTGATGTTTGCCCAAGAATAAATCTGCTTCTGTGAATATGTTCTGGTGCTTCTATTGAACGGAATGTTGTGTTTGTGCAGAGGCCTGAATCTTATGTATTTTAATGCCAAGGGTGTTACCCCTTCATTATGATGGTATAAAGTTGTTACGATTTCAAATCTGAAGAAATATCATCATATGATAGGAGAGTTTTCGAACAAGAAGACTTGCATTTGTGATTTGTATCTGGTGAAGTACAGAAAATCAGTACTGCTGCAATGTCCGGAGAGAAGTCTCCTTTTGAGCAGACCTCATACTTGATATTTAGTTTGTTGACTCTGTATATATCAGGCGAGTTTCTGAACATTAGATGAGTAGATGATCTCAGAGCAGCAGCATTGCCTTTTGTATTGCAGTACCAAAATTTCTAACATTCTATGTTTCAGCTTATCACTGTCTAATTCTCTTCTTTCTGTTGCTGGCTGGAAAATGTTACAGACCACTGCTGCCACTAGAGCAGGGCTTGATCAACTTAGGGTGTGTTTGGTATGAAGGAATTTTCCAATTTTCTCATGTTTGGTTGGGTTAAATGTTTTGAAAAATGTTTTTCAAATCAATTCATTTTCCTCAAATTTAAGGAAAATGACTTCCTTCAAAACTTATGGAAAACATTTTCCAAAACTCTTTTCAACTTCAAATTACAATTACTTTTTGTTGAAACAATCAATTTATTTTGTTCCTACTCTCAAATCTGCCACCAAACACTCCCCCCAAAAAAATAATTTTAAAGCTTGTTTTTAAATTCAATTTTTTTACCCCACCCTCACCCCTA